TCATAAAGATCACCTAACAATGTTTGAATATTTAGTAGAATTAACATTGTTGAACAAAGAAAAATACAAAGATAAATATTAACACATAAAATCAAAGTAATTCTGTCTTCTTGTTTTATTCGATTATTATGTTGATGATAAATAATAATAAAGAAGACAATAGCTGACATTATACTAGCTATTGACCCATGAATGATTGTAAGTAATGGTAATATAAAATCTATTGTGAGAGTCGTCTCGTTATTCATTGTTGAAGCAAATGAAATTTATAAATATCTTTGCATTATAAATAATTCTTCATTAGCATTATCAAAATGAAAAATATAATCTTGTTTTAACACGTGTCAAAGATGAACGAATAGTTCATCTATTTTAGTTGTATATTGATGAAAATCTTTAATATTAAAGAGTGACGGTGGCATATTTTGCTTAAATGAGATTATTTATTTTTCTTCATAAAAGATTTGTGTTAATTAATTTTTATTTAATATAAGAGAATGTGTATACAGAGCATTTCTCAAACGAGTATAGAAAATGTATCCAGACTAGAATATGCCTGGAATACTAGGATTCTTTCTTGGACATATGAATAAAAGATTTAACATTACATGTAAATATTTCAAAAAAACAATAAATTTAGTGAAAACAAATAATTCATAAATTGTTTATCAAATTAAAAACATGTCATATAAATCATTAAAAAAGTACTAAGTGGCGCTCAAAATATATAACTTTTAAACCTTTGAGTTTCAACTATTTCTTTTTCAGCACAAGAATCAATATTTTTAGGAGAAATGATTCATTTTTCGTACGAATAAATAACATTTCAGTATGAAAAAAAAGCCTTAGTAATTTATCTTCATATAATAATGTCTAAAATACTCAGTAATACATAAAGATATATTGCAGTAGTGACACATATCATATATATCTACCAAAACAATTCTGAATGTTTTTAAGATAAAACTGAGGTGGATGGAACAAAATATTATTTTACATTTTGTTATTTACCAATCAATTATGAGCTTCTGTTGTCAAAAAGTGAAAGAAAAGCATCTTATAGGATTTAATGCAGTGAAAAGATTTTTCTAATAATTAAAAAATATTCTAGAAGCAGTTTTGTTGAATAACTACACTCCAGCATATTTATACCTCATCGAAACTCAAAAGGTTCACAAGCGATATAGAAAAAATAGTTATTCAAACATCATTAATTTCATCTGTTCGATATTTCATATAAAATATAATGTTTTAATCATAAGTAATACATTTAGATGTGCAATTATTAGAAAATATTCCACGAATAGATTTGATATAAGGTGAACATGAGGATGTGGGTGTGGGTGTGGAATGAAAAGAATACCCAGACCTAGACCCGCAGTCTACATCCACACCCTTAAGACAGATGAATTTTTATTTATTAACTATTTTTAAGACAAACAAAAATATTTCATTTCTTTTTTTTCTCCAACCAACAATCATCATTAACGTTAATGATTAGTGAAAATATAAAAGTGATTATAATTATTTAAGTTTTAGAATTAACATAAAAGTATTAAAACATCAATCAATGATCATTAATATCTTGAGGATGTATGTGTAAATCTACGTCTAAATCCAATTGTACAAAGAACAGCAGTAACAAACATTACTCCCCATATATATGATTAGAAGACTTACATGTATTCATTATTAGTGGAATATGATAAAGTTAAAAAATAGCAGAAATAATGCATTATTTGATGAATTTTAAAGAATGAAAGTTTTAATACAAATTATTCTATATCATAATTAATCTGAGTAGATATTTATATGTAAAAAATAAATTATTGATATTCACTGATTTAATATAATCATAATTATAATAATAAAGATGAAATAAATATATTTCATTCTAAATATTTTCAAAAAATTCAAACATAAATCATACTTACTTATATTTTCATAATGAAAAAAAGATGTACTGACCAAGATTTTTTTAACTAAATAGAACAAATATTTTTATTATAGAAAAGCTTACATGATAATTAACTTAGTATAAAAAAACTACATATAAATTATTCAAATAAAAAAATTCTTTTTATTTATTGTATCTTGTTGATATGTGTCTTTAAAAAAGTCATCACACTAAATGTAGTGTAATGTTTACTTTAAGTAGGAGGTCAAAAAAATCTATCTAAATGACATCAGACATATTTTAAATTTTTATATTATGATACTTATCTTATTAATAATTATTGAAACTATTTTTATTCTTGAAACAATTCATTCTAACAGATAATAGTTTCTCAATTGTGTATATATCTGATGATTGATATATTATTAAACAAAAGCCTATTATTTTTCATTAAATGTTGATCTAGATTTTTGTCGAGATTCAATATATAAAGTTTCTATATCCTAAATGAAGATATTTATTATGCATTTGTTAAAATAATTTTAAAGAATAGGAGTTATTCTTTAATTAGAGAGATGATGTTGCAGAAATATTTAGGACTTATCAAGATTAAAGATGACGATACTTCAATTACTTCTAGAAAATTTTTCTCTATATGAGTTATTAGTTCTATGTTATATCATTCATTAAGTAGTATCATAATAATAAAATTTTGCTAAGATCCATTTCGTTTGCATGCTAGATGATTCCATAGAAGTGTATAGAAAATTTCAGTTGATGTTCGATTAGAATGTATATATTATTTCAGAGTTAAATATTTGAGTCTTGCTTGCACAGTTCCACACGTTTTCATCTCGTTTTTTAAAAAGTAATAGAAATTGAAGAAATTATTTTTGTATGCTGATTCTCGTTAATCTTTGAAATAAAAATAGAACCTTTATATGTGTATTAATTATTTAACATTAAGTGAGATGGAAAAAAGAGAAAAAACAATTATTTTCATATTATTGATGTTACATTAACATGTAAATAGGGAGCTAACAGACTTGTATCTCGATTCCTGATCTGTGCCTATCTTCAGTGTACTATCGTTTAGGAAAGAGAAGAGATTCTATATTCATCTTTCTATACATATATCATTATTTCGTTTTAACTCTTCGTAATAGATAGATAAGATATATGAAGTACTTAGATGAGTATAGAAATGAATATTAAAACTAGAAATGAGTTGTACGAACTTCATTTTCAAAAGATTATTAAAAATATGTGACTACATCCCTTTTTGATGTAGTTGCACTATATCGTTAAAAGATTTTAATACGTATGAAAAAGAAACTATTGTATAGTATATATATATAAATCTAGTCACACGGTGCAATATCAAATTCAAGTTAGTTCAATCCATTTAATTCTTTCTGTTTTGTCAACACCTGTGATACGAGATAGATTCAGTTTTTATACAGCATTAAGATATGCAGACATTAGATTATTTTGTTTAAAATATATGATATTAAATATTTTTTATAAATACAGCATATGTAACAACTAGTTTTCTAAAAGTATATCATTTTTCTAATTAGCTTCAATTGAAAACACTGTACAATATGTCAAACAATACGAGAACAAATGTGAAATCAACTGAACATTTAGTGACTACTTATTATCCATTAGTTTTAGTTATTATTGGTACTTTATTGAATCTTTTAACATTAATTATTTTTTATCGTTCAACATTTCGAAATACAAAAAAACAACCAATAATACATTATATGCGTGCAATAGCTATATTTGATATTTTTATGTTATATGGATGGAATCTTGATCATTATCTTTCAAGTAAACATGGATTTATACTTTTAACATATTCAATAGTAACATGTAAAATATTTGGATTTTTAAATTATGTTGCTGGACAATCAACAGCTTGGCTTCGTGTATTTATATGTTTTGATCGATATTTATTATCTAGTCGTCTTCGTCGTCCATGGTGTAGTCGTGAAAAAGGTGTTCTTATGATTATTTCATGCATTATTATCCTTGTTACTCTATTCAACTTCCATTTCCTTATTTTTGCTTGCTTTTATCGACCAAATGGTACAATTAATCCTAATGCTCAATTATATCAAATTTATCCATTATGGAATAATATTAATTTAGGTGTTTATAATTGCATACCATTTATATTCATGGTAATATTCAATAGTGGTATTATCTATCATTTGATTAAACGTCGTCATGTACGTATAATTCAACAATCACAAATTCAACATCGAACTATATCAATTACTTTGGTTATTACAACATTTCTCTTTTTAATAATGACTATTCCAGCAACAATTGTTGCTGCATTCTTCTTTACTACACGTACAACTAGTCTTGCAAAAATATTAGATTCAATTCTTTATACATATCATATAACATCATTTCCTCTTTATTTGACCACATTTAAGGAATTTCGATGGGAATTTATCAAGATGGTCACTTGTAAGAATAATAATCGAAGAATTGTACCGGCGCAAGTTGCTATTGCTATAGTAAGAACACTCAATCAATTATAAAACATTTTATAATTAATCGAGTAATGAATCTACATCCTCAAATATTTGAACAAAATATCTATTTAATAACTTTGAATTTTGACATGTAAAAAAATGACTATAATAAAATAATCTAAAATAAAAATAAGTTCACTAAAAATATTGCATTATATCTCAACTTTGAACTTTAATACTTAAAATGCCTATATATGTTTCGTTATTTTTAAACTAGATGAAATTGTGAGCAATAAAATATCTTTCATTTACACCCACGATAGATCTTTGGCAGATCTAGTCAGGATTTCAATAATTCAAAATTGAAAAAAAAAGATTCCTGATCATATATCTGTGAAGATTTTATTAGGTTTCCTCGAAGTGTTATCATATTTCTTGATAGGATCTTTGTAAGATTATACTCGATTTTTTGGCAGGATTTTGTAAATAGAACACAAGAGAAATGAATACATAGAGTATCAGTCTCTAGGCATTCAGTTTACATACTGATTAGTTTACCGAACTAAATGTCCCATGTAAATACAATTTATTTTAGAACATTTTCAAAATACAATATCGTTTTATATATTTATCTTAGTCGGTGAAAGTTTAATATTTTTTTTGAAATTTTAATTTGATTGGAAATTTATATTTGAAATTTTTTGAAGATAATCAAAATTATGAGAGTGTGGGTATAGATGAAATAGAATACTCACAAACACACCTTCGCTGTTATGTATTTTGCGTATTTCTATTACTGAAAGACATGTTTACTTAATACATGATTTTCCCTCTGCATAAAACATACGAGCTGTTTTGATGAATTCATTTCATAATGATAGATGTTGCACAGTATATTATTTGAGAGAACAACAATACTTCGAAAAGCATTTTCCAACAGTGATGAGTTAATATTATTGTTATTAGGGTGTGAGTGTAGAGTTATGCATGATTATGTGTCATCCGTTTCGACATTCTCGCACGCACACTCACACGCATGTCCACCCTTAAAGATACGAAGTAGCTTACTAAACATCACTATTAGGTTTGGTGGTAAAGCTACTCGTATAGTTTGTCATTACTATCATGCGTCATCTTATCGCGAATGACATATAGTTGATGTCAAAACTATTCATAAAGAGTGCTATCTGTCTTTGAGAGAAGGAAACAAGTATTTATTATTTGCTTCTGTTCAAATAACGTCAGTAAACAAAAACATTCGTGTGTTTTTTCACTGTTACTCTTCACATAGAGACCAAAGTTTCTTCTCTTGATTATTCTATCTATTAACTCTATACTGATTGTGAGTGTTACTTTAGCTTTACTTTATATATAAAGTTAAAGTGAATCTTTATCTTTATTTTGAAAATAAAGTTAAAATAAAGAATGAAGAAAATATTTTCAAGTGATCGATAAATAGATAAATAATTGATATGAAAAAAGATAATATCGATTGTAGTTTTTTCCTATCACTAGCCACATCCAAATATGGATTAATGCTAACAAGTGACTATGAAGCATAAAAGAATTATAGAAAAAACTTCGCTGCAGAATCTTTTTTAGCCTGTGTTCTTATAGTATTTAGTGGTCTATGTGGGAAAGATAAAATTTTAGATTCTTAAGAAAAGAAATTCTTTATTCTTTATAAAATAAAGATAAAGTAACACCCCTAATACTGATAGTATTTGTTCATCTCTTTTTTTCATATGCTAATACATGTCTCTTTAGGCTGACATGGTTGGAGGGTTATTATCTCGTTAATTAATAAAAAAAAGTAAAAGATTAACTCGACACAACACATAAAAATGCATGTGCATTCTTCATTTTTTTCTATCATAGAAGAAATTTGGCTGACTTTGAAAATGGTGTCGACTGCTGAACTACTTAACTTAGTTACTCAACATTTCACGATTGCCTTTGGCATTTTCATATTTCTATTAGGTCTTATTGGCAATTGTCTGAGTATTCTCACGTTCTCTTCTGTGATGAAAACTCGTCTCTTTCCACCTACACCCTCTCGACTCTACTTGCTCATCGCTGCCATTGCTAATTTAGTATACCTTGCCACTATCATCTCCACTCGAATTCTCATTACTGGCTTTCTAATTCAAGTAACAAACAATAATATGTTCATTTGTAAATTTCGGACATATGTCGCTCAAGTGTCTCAATTGACATCAGTTTTCTCTATGATATTTTCTGCCATAGATCAATACTGTGTAACAAGTCGATCTGCAAGAATTCGTCAGCTGAGTCAATTATCTTTGGCGAAAAAAGTTTCATTCTTTTCCATTCTTTTATGGTGTTTGATCAATACACCTGCGCCGGTTTTTTACAATCTCTATCCAAAAGTGGCGAATGCATCATCAACTGTGTGCACTACATATTCAACTGAATGGGTATTCTATTTCACGTACATTCAAGGGTTGATTCTTCTCTGTCTTTTACCTTTGTCTTTAATCATCATATTCGGTATTCTAACAAGAAAAAATATTATGTCCGTACGTCAAAATCAAGGATCTATTGCTCGTCAATTGACTCGAATGATTCTTTTGCAATTAATGATAATGGCAATTTCTTTCAGTCTTAACTCCGTTCAAATCATCTATCAGGCCGTGCAAACGAATACAATAAGAGACATTTCACGCGTCGCCCTAGATAATCTAATCGTTACAGCTGCACAGCTAATAAATTTTGTTAATTACTGTAGTGGCTTCTATATTTATGCGTGCTCATCAAAAGCTTTACGACAAAATCTGAAAAATCTGCTATTAAATCGTGAACAAAATCAACCATCGACGACGGTATCAGTAATTAATCGAAACCAACTCGTTGGTAGAACGAAACCTAGTCAAGTACAACCAATAAGAACAATTAATGAGTAAACAAACAGAGACACTCATCATAGTGGTCTTTTCATTCATATTACTTGGTGTTTATCTTCTTTTTCTGTTGTTTGTCAGTAGTTTCTCTCTTCTGCTTTTTTCTTGTTTATTCGTTGAAACTTAAGATGAAGCTTTTCTCTCACTCATCCTTTAAGCGTTGTCATAACCGTGAAAAACAAATGCGCCTTTCTATTTAATAAAGAAATTAAATAATGTGACATTTGTTCCATATATTTTTTAATATTCAACAGCTATATAATTCCAAAGCGTGAAAAAAGACTGACGTCATATGCATTAATGCCACATCTTAATATTCAATAAAATACGATCTTCGGAAAAAATATCTTTATTGAAGAAGAGAAAGAGAAACACCAAATAGAGAGAACGGAACAAGGTGGGTGTGGGTGTGAATATTACCTTACTAGCGCACCCACACCCTCAATGGGAGGTGTTCATTAATAGGGGTTTCACTGTAGTTTTATCTCGTTGTTCAGAATAGCATGTATTTTATAAATAGTGGATTTACATACTGTTTATTAACTAATTGATTAACAGCAAACAGAAAGTGTCTCTAGAAAGAAGAAAATGAAGGAGAGGAACACTGTTCAATATATGATTTATTAGAATAAAAACTTCAGATATTGAAATGCGATCTTACAATGAGATCAGAATATTTTCGGATGTACGAATGAGTGAGAGATAGAGAGTTATTAGTTAATCGTCTTGATATTATTCGTCGCGAATAGGATCGTGAAACAATGGATCTTTAACTAGTGAATGTGGGTACTGTGTTTTTCTCTTAACTTAACCCTCACCCACACCCCAATTTTCAATACAATCAATTTATTAGAATGCTACATGACTAAATATCTGTGTCGTAATATTAAACGTAAATTATATATCATCTCTTAACCTGTTAGAATCAGATATATAAATCTTGATCAACTAGACTAATTCATGGCACATAAAAGATAATTTTATCGATAATACTTTATTTATTCATTATTCTGTATACGTATTTGTTTTATGTTGTATCTGAATATTATCTTGAGCTTATAATAAATATAGTTTAAATATGTAGAATTTAAATAAGACAAAATAGAATGCATATTATTTGATTAATTGCTTATTATATTTCATGAATAAAATATATTATTTATTTCTGCACATTAAAAACAAAAGGATATGGAAAATATAAGACATAGGATATAACATTTGAGTTTCATAACGCTAGTCGATCACACTCGATGAACTACCGAACCACTAGTATTCTCATCATTTCAAAACATTTCTTCTTTACAAAAAGATTTAAATATTTAGATGTTTACAAAAATTCATATTCCTTCTGATCATAGAGTACTTTGTAGAGTTTTTTGAAACATATAATAGAAAAGAATGCCTAGGATTTTATTTATTGTCGGATTTGTTAATTTTTCTAGTAAATTTATTTTTGACTTTCATTTGTTAACACAAATTTTCCAATCTTAATTATAAGTATCTGTTGAGGAACGAAAATAAAAGAAAGTGAAAACCGGACTTGTCGAAACGATTACTAAGTGTGCTTAGAAATATTCATTACTACCCTTTTGATCTATATGTCAAAAAATTATCAAGTACAATTTTACAATGACTATATTCTGAAATGTAGTCGATGGCCAGAACGCAATGACATATATCCTTGATTATTTCAGACAGTGCTGAAAATAAGTAGATAATTTATTTCTCAAGTATATGTCCCAGGCAAAATTAAGTTTTAGGCAAAATTAAACAGGCAAAACTTGCTTTGCTTTCCGCGCGAAAATTTGAATTTTGTTTTTTTTTTTTGGTCGAAAAAAAAATATCGAAAAACATTTTTCTATTATAATAAAATAGATTATTTGTATAGTATCGTCCAACAAAAAAAACATATTAAGAACAACTAATAAAAAATTAGGCGATTCATTGTATCATAGATTTTTTCCATTTTTTCTGTGCTCGTCATTTAGAATTAAAAGAAAAAATATCGGGCAAGATTCTTTTGTTAGAATAAAACAAATAATTTGTATAGTAGTTTCCAAAAACAAACATATTAAAAACGTTGAATAAGAAATTGAGTGAACTCATTGTATCATATATTGGATTTTTTCTGAAAATTTTTGTGTT